TTTTTTTTTTTGCTTAGCTTCCGATTTTATTCATTCGTTTCAAAAAGACCAAAGGCTAAAGAGAGGTCTCTCTTTATCGCGAGGAAACTGATGCTGGAAACAGATATTGAGGAATTCTAAGTCGGCCACAAGTTTTGCGGAGGACTTTACGAACGGCCATCACAGCTCTCAAAAAGTTAAGGCCACCGATTTTTAAATCTTGAGTTATTTTAGCGAGTGCGTGTCATTAGTATTTTTGCTTTAAGCCAGACCAGAATGAACCGGAATAATGTGCGGAAATGAACATTAGTATAAATAGACAGAATGCAAAATTAGTTGAATTGTCTTATGAACTGGAACTCGGTTAGAGTCATATGCGAGTCCCTTATTGTGCAGGCACATTATAACCCAGGATCTCACGACATCGCGTGAAAACAAAGAAATCAAACTCAAGTCAAATTTGAACCAATCAGAAGCAAGCAACGAAGCCTCGATTTTTTAGAAAACCTTAGATGTTATCAACGTGACAACCGTGGGAATGAGTGACTGTGATTGGCTGAAGTCAATATGATACTGATTTTGCTTTCTCCTGATTGGCTAAGGTTTTTTTTATCTTGAATTTTGTTCAGTTGGTCCCTGTTAGTTTGTCCGCAAAGCAAAAGATCTCTAAATAACATCATCTCAACCTGGAGCTCATATTTTGAGCATATCAACTGTTTTTCTACCGTCGGCTACCTACTTATATTTATTATCATTATGAAGAAGTTTTTTTGTCGAATCATATTTTCTATTACGCGTGTTTTCAGACTAAAATAAATCATTCATTAATAATACATCGTCACGCGAAAGCCTCAAAAGTATCATATTGACAGTGTAGTTTGAAAACCGTCAAAGATATTGATATTTACACTCGGTACTCACCTTTCCGCTCCATTAACTATGCTTAAAGCTTAGGTCTTGGCATCCAAAAGTACATACTGCCATCATAATCATAATCATCATCATTACTATCATCATCATAATAAGAATAATTTATTAAAGGGGCACTTGGATGAAAATTGATAAACATTAATTGGAAATAACGTTAAATTTAGTTAGAAGTGTCTATACGGCCCCAGTAGTAGCCAAGCAACATATTTTCTTCACAGTAAAATGTGTCGGATAAAAATTATCAATTTTATTCAGCATATAAATTGTGAGTAAATAACGTAATTTACTCAACCCTATTGTTCATTTCTCTTTTAAAATTTTCACTAATCTGGTTTACATAATCATARTTGAGTCAWATTATCCWCAAATACTTCAATTATTCGGACTTTGAAAAATTGGGGCGTTTTCATCCAAGTGCCCCTTTAATTAATAATGCATCGTCACGCGAAAGCCTTAAAAGTATATTATTGACAGTGTAGCTTGAAAACCGTCAGAGATATTGACTATTTACACTCGGTATTCATTTCGGCATTTTTTGGAGTTGGGCATTGATTGATGGCACTGGCTTATAAATATTAGCTCAATATTGCAAGGTTAATTATTTTCTTTCTTTATGTGAATAGGTAGCTTTTAAGGTTTATATGATGTCTTTTGTTAACGTACACCAACATGGCGGTGATGACGTCACTTGGAAACAAACTGAATGATTTGAATAATAATAATAATAATAATAATAATGAAGATGATGATAATGATAATAATAATAATAATAATAATAATAATTGATTACATTTGTTACAGAGTTGGCAACAGCCACCAACACTTGTACTTGGGGATTCTATATGTGTGCTAGTAACTCCGTGTGCATATCAAGTAGAAACAGATGTGACGGTTATGCCCAGTGTACTAATGGAGAGGATGAAAGTAACTGCCCGACAAGTAAGTAATGAGATAATCAATGATAAATAATACTAAAAATATCATATTTATCAATTAGAGCTGCAGACCTCTTGGWGTACGAGTCAATAGCCCATGAGTCCGAAAGCCCAATTAATGGGCAGCTATTGACTTGAAAACAAAGAGGGCCAGAGGTCTAATTGTTTTAATATATACCTATAATTTATTTTTCCTGTTGTTTTGGTTTTCAAAACTGACACTTTTTACTCAAGTGGTCTATCACTAATAGACCACTTGTAGTTCAACCAATCAGAGYTCCGGATTCGTAATAGACCATTAGTAATTACCGGTTCGTACTAAATTATATACGGACTTTTGTACGGTACATTTTATAGAGGTTTTGTATTGTAAAATGCGTTTGATGCTAAGGGATTGCAGATATAGATGACTCCAACTACAGGAACTCGCACAAACAAACCATTGAAAAAAAGTTTATCGCTAGTCATTATAAGACTCGGTTTCAGCCGTGAGGTTGTCGTTTGTGATACCAACCTTCCCCCAACTCAGTGGAAAGAAGATCACTGGCGAACCGAAACCACCACGGCTTGACATCRAGCATATAGAGCAGTTTTCGCACGACTGTGAAAAGCTCAGTGCCGTAAGCGTGACGTGCCGTGACCGTGATACTTTCTAGAATTCTAATTGGCTGATTTTTTTCACACGTAATATGATTGGTCTAAAAGTGCCGTGATCTTGGCGTGACCGTGTCCGCTCCGTGTTTATTCCCTGTTCCAGGTATTTGATTGGATGGAGAGTAAATTCTCGTGCAATGTGATTTGTCTGGCGTACCCCTTGCTGTGTCGCGACCGTGTTCGTGCCGTGAATTTTTCACAGTCATACGAAAACTGCACTAGTCAACACCGCAAGTACGGTGAGCATCAAGCTCATCGGGGTTGAACTGAAAGCAATGATCCAACTCAGCTGTTGTGGCCAGGTACTGGAACTATCGAACTTGGACCTTATAGGTAAAAGGAGGATTTTTTWAACACGCCATCCTCACTCATGTCAACAATGATGAAATCATAAACGTACCATAAGCAATATATTAATTATAAGCAATATATTAATAATAATTGTTTCAACTATTCTTTTTAAGGTTGTTCAGGCTATTATTCTGGATACTTCAGGTGCAGCAATAATGACTGCATATCTAGGAGTTCCTTATGCGACGGTAACAATAACTGCGCTGATGGGTCCGATGAATCCACCGCTCTTTGCGGCGGCACAGGTAAATGATATATTGTGACTACTAATTTAGTAGTATAGGGGATGGGGGTTCCAGCGCAACGACAACCGGAGGATTACCCGTCTAAAGTACCCCCCTCGATTCGTACCGCGATTACCCGCATCCCG